TATCTCACTGGTAAACTGTAATATCTCACTGGTAAACTGTAGTATATCACTGGTAAACTGTAGTGTATCACTGGTAAACTGTAGTATCTCACTTGTAAACTATAATATCTCACTGGTAAACTGTAGTATCTCACTGGTAAACTGTAATATCTCACTAGTAAACTGTAGTATCTCACTTGTAAACTATAATATCTCACTGGTAAACTATAGTATATCACTGGTAAACTGTAGTGTATCACTGGTAAACTGAAGTATCTCACTTGTAAACTATAATATCTCACTGGTAAACAGTAGTATCTCACTGGTAAACTATAGTATCTCACTGGTAAACTGTTATATCTCACTGGTAAACTGCAGTATCTCACTGGTAAACTACAGGTAACTGCTAACGATTTGGTTTACTGCGATAACTGATTCCATACTGACATAGACAGGTAACCGCAAACGATTTGGTTTACTGCGATAACTGATTCCATACTGACATAGACAGGTAACCATAAACGATTTGGTTTACTGCGATAACTGATTCCATACTGACATAGACAGGTAACCGCAAACGGTTTGTTTTACGGCGATAACTGATTCCATACTGACATAGACAGGTAACCATAAACGATTTCGTTTACTGCGATAACTGATTCCATACTGACATAGACAGGTAACCGCAAACGATTTGTTTTACGGCGATAGCTGATTCCATACTGACATAGACAGGTAACCATAAACGATTTGGTTTACTGCGATAACTGATTCCGTANTCACTGGTAAACTGTAATATCTCACTGGTAAACTGTAGTATCTCACTGGTAAACTGTAATATCTCACTGGTAAACTGTAATATTTCACTGGTAAACTGTAGTATCTCACTGCTAAACTGTAGTATATCACTGGTAAACTGANGATAACTGATTCCATACTGACATAGACAGGTAACCATAAACGATTTTGTTTACTGCTATAACTGATTCCGTAATAACATAGACAGGTAACCGTAAACGATTTGGTTTACTGTGATAACTGATTCCATACTGACATAGGCAGGTAACCGTAAACGTTTTGATTTACACTTATTTTTCCCGAATATCTTTTTACTGACAGGTAGCTGTTATCGGCCTGATTACCCGAGATATTATAGTTCTCGAGAATATCGTTTAAGTGATATTGATCCAACAGGTTTATAAAGTGAGGACTGAAAAGTAAATCTAATGATGATATTTAATGGTTTGCCGTTGAATAGTATTATATAAATCACTCGTATTACAGCTTCTATCGATATTTTCACTTGTGCGTCGAACTCGTGAAAAATATCGTGTATGCCTGAATATCGATATTTTCGTAAATATCAAGTAAAAGTGGAAACATTGGTATATTTTGCCATTCGGGTGAAATATATATGGTATTTACATGTAATGGGGAGCTACTTAATTTTGTATTTCTTAAATTAGTTTTTAAGAAAAACGTCAAAACTGTAGCTGCATCAAAATAAATGCGGGAATTAGCAGTGTGTTATTTGACGCCAGATTCAAGTGACAACTCGCCTGATAACAAGACTGTGTGCCATTTTGAATAGGCTACTCATCACCGGTCTACCGTTGTTCGTTATTTGTTAATATGATTTACTTACAAAAAATGCTATCAATTACTTGAATATGTTGATTAGTTTATTTTCTAAAGATGTACAAAAACAACCATTCATTCTATTCTACCGTCGTTTCATCTGCAGCTAAACATACCACTTTAACTGGTCAATATATAATCGATACTGAACACTATATCATCACTTATGACTGTAATATATCACTGGTAAACTGTAGTATCTCACTGGTAAACTTTAATATCTCACTGGTAAACTGTAGTATCTCAATGGTAAACTGTAGTATCTCACTGGTAAACTGTAATATCACACTGGCAAACTGTAGTATCTCACTGGTAAACTGTAATATCTCACTGGTAAACTGAAATATCTCACTGGTAAACTGTAATATCTTACTGGCAAACTGTAGTATATCACTGGTAAACTGTAATATAGCACTGGTAAACTGTAGTATCTCACTGGTAAACTGAAATATCTCACTGGTAAGCTGTAGTATATCACTGGTAAACTGTAATATCTCGCTGGTAAACTGTAG